TAACAAAAATTTTTAAAGATTTTCTAAAGCCTCAATAAATATACAAAGACAGAATATATACATGTGTCTGTATGTTTATGTATGTATATACACACACACACGCCATAGAGAAACACCATGTCCAATGGTACCCTGCTTCATGAACTCAATTCTCTACATGATTCTGATCACAAGCTGAACTGGCTGAGAACCAAATCAAACTTCCTCATAAGAACAACACTGAACATACTACTGAATTTGATTTGTTTCTTATCCAACCTGATTTGGGACTAGAATCATGAAAAGAATCAAGTTCGTGAACTGGGGCACCACTTTTTATGAAGTAGATAACAGTATTGTAAAGACACATTGTACTGTATTTGTCTGCCCACGGATTCAGTGTAACGCTAATTAAAAAAAAAAATCACAATGTACTATGTGATTCTTAAATATATATAGCTGCAAAAAGCCATGAATAATTGAGTTTCCTGAAACTTTAAAGTTCATTATTTAATACAATACTGTATCCTCAAAAGGATATATTAATACAATTCAAAGTTCATTATTTAATACAATACTGTATCCTCAAAAGGATACATTAATACAATTCAAAGTTCATTATTTAATACAATACTGTACCCTTAAAAGGACAGACAAACAGACCATAGACCAGGAAGGAGAACCTAGAAACACACACATGAATATATGGACATATGATGCATGACAGTGAAATTTCAGAGAAACACAGAAAAGGATGAACTTTTTAAATAACGCTAAGGGAGCCAGATAACCATATGAAAAGATACCCATATATCACATTATACACAAGATAAATCTCAAAGTCTAGATCTGAAAGTTAAAGACAAGCTTCAAGTAAAAAAAATAAAGTATTTGCAGGATCACAAGTGAAAATTTCTTTACCTGTCACAAACGACACTAATCATAACAGGAAAGATGGGTTTTTCTCTATTTAAATTAGAAACATCTGTTCTCAAACTACACCCTTTCAAAAAAACACACAGCCCAGTTGGAAAGAAAGATGCATAAATACTTAAGCAGCAAAAGATTAAAAGAAAAGGAATGATATGACTGCCCTAAATACAGGATATTGGTTATCCAGGGACAAAGGGAGAAGCTACTATCTGAAAAAAGGTCAGAGGGCAGCTTCAGCAATTCCCAAATATGCTGTTATCTCATGAGGATAGTAGTTACACAGGTGATGAGTCTTCCTAAAACTGTAAATTTGATTTATATGGTTTTGTATTTCAAGTAAAAAATAGTTTAAAATTCAATGCACTTAAATTCAAAGCAAAACCAACAGGAAACCAAAACTTATCAAAACTATTCAATAAAATACCAGAAATACCTAAAGGTCTATTTCAAAATTAAATATAAGGCAACTGCTCAAATACTCATATAGATTTGAAAGGATATGATTTTCACACAGAATCCAAAGCCTTTCTGTTCAATCTGACCATGATGTAAGATCAACATGTTCATCTAGATACATTTAATTACTAAATGCGATGTAGGCAGGTTCTACAATGGCCTCCAAAAATCATCCACCTCTTAGCATTGTGTAATTTTAAGTTGGGAATAAATATTTGTTTCTAATGCAGAAAACAGCAAAAGTATTAGGATATAACTTCAAAGACCACATTGTAAAAAAAAAAGTATGTGACATCTGTCTTCAATACCCTGCTACTGCTTTCTTACTCTCCATCTAACACAGACTACTGACATGGAGAAACCCTGGGACCATGAAGAGCTCTTTCCAGTAGCCAGATGAACCTTGAGATAAATGCCTCCCTGGCCAACCACTTGACTGCAGCTTGGTGAGAACCTAAGTCAAGGAACCTAGCTAGCTGTTCTGCATTAAGATTCCTAACCTAACATATTAAATGTTTGATGTTTCAGGTCATCAAGTTTGACGGTAATTGGTAATTTGTTATACAGTAACAGGTAACTCACACAAATGCCTACTATGTGCCTCACATCTTCCATTCTCTTAATATTCTAAAAGCAGTCAGCAGGGGAAAAGTAAAAACTCTTGGGGGGGAGTGTTGCAGTCAGGGTCTTGTCACTGATCTCTCTACTAAGTTGACAAGGCCAACTTGGATCCTCTTGCTTTAGCCTCCCAGAATGCTGAGATTGTAGGCCTATGGCCTTAGGCCCAGCTATATACAAGATTTTATTAGTGTTAAATTACTAGCCAAATATAATAGTAATATTAAATCTAAAAACAGATTTAACTCCAGTACTGTATATCAATTTCTAAAACAATAATCCCAATTAAGGTTACAAACAAAATCACAAATTTCAACATTAATCTTAGAAAAAACAAATATGCCTCTAGGTCATTTTACTTGTGTAAGTTTAAGTATCAAATATACTATAGGAGATAGTATCTTTAACAAATATATTTGCTTTGAGTATTAAACATGCAAATATATTTTATAATATATACAAGAAAATATAAACAATTGATTTATTCTCTGAGCACTAAAATATGAGACATTAATCAACCAAATTTGTAGATTATACCTTATAATGATTATATATCAGTACAATACCAGATTCCAATAATGGAAAAATTTAATGAAATTTAATCAAACTACCAGGTAAATCTAAAAATTTAAACCTAGTTCCCCTGTCATTTGTGTAAAACTGAAATATTCAAAGTCATTCAATAAGGGATACATTAAACAAAAGCAAACCAAATTGTATATAGTCATTCAAAAACAATTCTCCACTGATCTCCCCAATTCTGCATAACTTATGATAGCTTTTGTTCCAAACTGTAATTTCAAGATGTCTGAAGAATGAACATCCTCAGCAGAAGGAGATTTGCTTTCTGACCAAGATAATAAAAAGAGCATCTCCCTACAAGAGAAACTCTGGATGGATGGACGAGCATTCCCCTTCAAAAGATTGGATTTTCCTTAATAACACAGGGTTTCTCTGTGTAACACAAACCCACCAGGTGTGCAAAAACAACCTGGGCCCATCTCCACATTGCCACGTGAGGGTCAGAGTGAATGGTACAAACATGAAGCTGATGCAGCCACATGTTGTATGAGTAAGAAAGTCCTTTTACCTCCAACCCATAGCCTTACATCTTCCACCAACATGCACGAAACTTTGGCAGGCTAACCTATTAGCTGGCTAGTCAAGAGTAAAATAATCTTATAACTTTCAGTTTTATATAGTTATAAGTGCTATCCTATCACCTGAAACTATTTTAAGTCTAATAATTTATTGCAGGAATCAACAGACACCTACAGAAGCAGTGAAAAACACTAAAAAATGAGGGAGCTAACGAAAACTTAAATCCAGGAATTCTTATGCTTGGACTGTTTATTTCATTGGCACCTTTACTTATTCATTATCAGGTACTTTCCAAATACCAAATCTCATTCTCAGTGAGTTCAAAGACTAAGACAAAAAGAAACAAAATAATAACACAAAATTATATATTTTCTATTTAAAAGGGGAAGTATGTATAAAATATGAAAAAGTATCATTTTCTACAGTAAAAAAAGTTGAGTGTACACATGATGCATTAATGATTTCATTTCCATATGTTATAAAATTTTCATCCTTGCTATTCAAAAGGTGGTCCAAGGACCAAGAACTTCAACATCATCCGGGCCTTACTAGAGATACTAGCTTGTCAGGTTCCAACAAAGTCCCCCTCAAATAAGAAACTCCATTTAACGAAATCCTTGGGTGATTCTGAGCATATAGTAGTTTAGGAAGTAGTATGCTACATTAAGACATTTAAACAAATGAGTTACTGAATGCTACCTCCTCCCTTACACCCCCACTAAGACTAAATCTTAAAATGTACCATGAAAGTATTTCTCTTTAACATATATTAAAATCACAACTAATCTAACACAAGTTAAAGATGAAAACAAGTCATAAACCATGTAAAGAATATTTACCTATGGAAAAAAATAGCTAGCTGAATATAATCCAAAACTTATATCAGAAAAAGTTAAAAATAGCTTGGCAAATGTGGCCCTCGCCTATAATACCAGGTACTTGGAGGCTGAGTCTGGAGGATTACAAATTCAAAGCCAGTCAGAGTGACTTAGCAAGCGCCTGTCTCAAAATACAACAGAAAAAAGGACGCGTATTTAGCTCAGTGGTATAGTGCCTCAGGTATTACTTTTAGACTGGGTTTAATCTCCAGTACCACAGAGGGGGAAAAAAAACAACAGCTAAAAACAGCACACAATGAATAATCAAAAGAAAGAAAGAGGTCACATTAAAATAATGTAAAGTTCTGATTACTCTGACATAATAAAAATATTTCTCATCTTTATTTTCAAAAAAAATAAGCATATAACAGTTAATGCATTTAAGAGTAAAAAGTACTATAACTAGATAGTTTTTAAAGTAAATATATCAGAGATTTGAAACAGCTGAGCATTTTAAGAAAAAAACAGATTTTAGAGTTATTTTAGTATGATATTCAGGGCACTGGATTTTGACTACTTTATTTTGCCATATTTTGTATATGTATAAAAAAACTGAGAAATTTTATAAATACTAAATTACGACATTCTGCTTATAAAACATAATACAAAATTATCTTTAAGCTAGCCTGCATAACTTGAACTTTCCAAGTTCTAAATAAATGGGCATGTTTTTACTTGATATATATTTTTTTCTTTAAAAAACTTTTTAACACTTAAGGCTTTAAAGTTTCCTATATTTTCTTTTCATAATGATGGATGGATAGGCTGTCTTTAATAATTCTATTTTCTACTTTTTATAGGGTTGAGGTTACTCTTACTGAAAATTATGATACTTTATGCTAACTCTTACTGAAAAACTTTCTAGGTCATCTTCAAACAAGGGTTAAAACATACCCAGTTGTAAAGGCTTAACAAAAAAAATATTCTTAAAATAACAAAATTTAACAGAATTTTCTGAAAGTTAAATGTTTTTTACACTGTAGAACACTCAACAACAGTAACTAAAACATTATGGAAAACATATAAAGTAATTACCTCTCTCTTATTTCTTCTTGCAACTTTGAGGAATTCCATAAGGATCTGTAGTTGAGCCGCATGTGATTCCTACAATAGAAAAAAATTTTTATATTTAACTTTGAGTTAAAAGGTTTCATTAAATCCATAGCATAAACAGCACAAAGCAACGTTATGCCCTTAAATTAGTGTATAGTGAGTCTCTAACTTAGGAACAGGTTCCATGAATGTATGCATGTCAGATTCATCAGTAATCCAACAAAGTGAGTCTTACAGAGTATACCTCTAAAAGCTTACAACTTGAATGGTCGTAAGTTGGAGACTGTACTATTTCTAATTAGCTATTTTCCATTTGCAACCTGGCATTTCAAAAAGCATGCGATTTTCCAAAATAGTTGAAATTAATTTTAAGAAACAGATATTCTACATGTAAAGAAATATTTATGGGGAATAACTTTTCCTCCTAAACTTAAAATATCAAGACAAAAGTTGTAATTTCTAGATAGAAAAATCATTTTTCCCATTAAGAACTTGCAAGGATAAACATTTTATAGTAAATAAGAAGAAATCTATACCTTTCCAAAGCCAAATTTACTATTCCTAGTTATTAACTATAGTAGTTATATACATAAGATAATCAACATATTTTGTCGAAGATTTCAGTGAAAATCAAACACTTGAAAACAAAAAAATTCTAATATAAATGAGAGGGAATAACAAATACCCAAAAGTGGTAATTAAGATAATACTGATTATTAATAATTATCATCTTTGATATTTACTGGGTGTCAAAATAATAAAACAAGTATCTTTTACTGTTGAAACTCATAAAAAGAACCAAGCAATTCCAGGTGCATGTGATAAATACATGTAAAAGGAACATCAAAAGCTATAAAGAGTGTAAGAATTTTATAACCAAATGAAATTCTAATTTTTTCTTATTTTATGAAAGGACAAATAAAAAGTATCCAATACAGTAATTCCTAAATAAAAATAAATTAATCAAATTTTCTTTTACCTATGTAACAGAATTATCCGGGGCATTTGCTAAAATAGACACTGGTCAGATTTTACAATTCCTGATTCTCTTGATTTATAAAAGTACATTTCACAAAGGCCTAGATGATTAAAAAAAAGCGATCAAAACTGGGAGAATCATTACAATATAACACATGCTACAAAAACATATGGCCACCTTAAATTCATCAAACCCATTCCTACAGTTTCTCTAGCCTTTTGGAGGGGAGGGGAACCTTTGTACTTCAAAAGATAAAAAGCAAAATAGACTATTAAGAGTATCTTCAAAATAAGTTTGAATATTTCATTTCAAACAGAATCAGTAAATAAGAATGCAACTGATTTAGAAAGGGAGGGGAAAAAATTCCAAAGCCACAGGAATAAAAGGAAAAGGAGCTGAACTATGAATATTAAGAGCTTAGCACATTCTTCTGAAGCTTAATCATCTTCAAATAGAGAGGGCTACGGACTTGCAATGGTTTTACTTAAGCTTTTTCAGCTTTTATCATGGTATTCATGATACATGGTACTACAAATTTTTATGCTCTCCCTGGCTAGCCACATACAGTATGACACCATCTAAAGATGCTGGCCAACCATGGAAAGCCACAATTTCCAGTCAAGCCCCCAGATCATGAAGATAAACTAACACTCTCAGTGCACTGTGTTCCTAAACTAAGTTTGTTCACAGTATTTTTCAACTTATGATACATTTGCAAGGCTGTAACCAGATTTAAAATACTGTAACATAACTGAGAAACCAGATAAATAAAAAATGTATGGAACTATAATTTCACATGTAACTATGAAAAAATTATGTAAGAGATAATGAAAGACTAAAAAAAAAAAAAAAAAAAAAATAGAAACAAGAGCGTAGCCAAATAGAAACAAGAAGGTAGCCAACAAGAAGGTAGCCAAGGTTAAAATAATGTCTAGTCATGCAATGTTCTCCTAGAACAGTCTCAGAAACTGACCATGAAAGTAATTCCCTAAAGTTGTTTAAGCCACTACCTAAGAAGGAAAATGTTTGTTCTCTAAACATTTTTTATCAACTGTCAAAGCTTTGAAAAAAATTTTTAACAAAAGATATAATGATCATTTAGCCTAATTCTTTCCTTTTCAGGAAACTATTCAGCAAGAAAAAGAATGAAAAGAAATTGGAGCAGAGGAAAATAGACATACACTAAAAAAAAAATCAGTGTTTCTTATAAAGTAACACCTTTCCATTAAATTGTTCTATCTTGCCCATTAGTTATCTCAAGAGAAAACATGTTTGCCATCTGAAGTGAAGTATGCTTTGATTTTTATAAAATACTGATTTTCCATATTTCCCTGTTCTCTATAACTAAAATTTGTTTTATCCTAAAAAGGAAACAGAAATGGTCTAACACAAGTAAGTGAACCAAGCATTTAATTCTTATACCAATTTTATGCTTTAATATCCTCCTGATAAAAAAAACATTGTAAATAGGAGAAAATAGACTGGTCTGAAATCTGTAAACACCTGGTACAGCTGATATTATTTATTTTATTATATGTGAATAACTTAATTCTTTAACTATAGTTACCAGTTATCATGAACTCATCTTCTCAAGTAGTTAACTCTACAGTAGTTTCTCAATATAAGAACAACTAGCAGGCCAGGGATACAGTTCAATTACAATTTAAAATTGAAATATTCCCAGTTCTGTGGAGAATATGAAACTAAAAGATGAGAGTAACTAAAACTGAAAAAAATCCATCATGATATTAGTAAAGTGATATGCTTATCCCTGTGATACATAGCTCTTCTGAGATTTTTTGTTTTTTTGGTAATAGTGGGAATTGAACAGGCTCTGCAATGAGCTATATCCCTAGTCCTTTTTTTTCATTCCCTCTTACTTTCTTTGCCATCTACCTATCAGACCAAGTCTTGCTAAGTCACTAAGTTGCCATCTATCTATCTACCTACCTACCTATCTATCTAGCATCTTGCTAAATTGCTTAATTTCCAGTTAGGCTTGAACTTGCAAACCTCCAGCTCCAGCATCTCAAATGGCTCAGATTACAGGTATGTACAACCATAACCAGCTGTGAAATGACTTCAAAGGAAAACTTTAAAGTAGAAATATGAACACCCGATTAAAACATGAAGTATAAGGAACATAAAACCTTGAAACAATTTCACAATGCATATGTTTTAAAGCATAAGAAAATTTGGAGAAAGTAATAATACAGTAGTTCATAGAATGAGTAAAACTAAAATTTAGGTCTGGTGTGATAAGAAACACTTTAACAATGTAAAATACTTAAATTATTAAAAAAGACAAAGGTGAACAATTCAGATTCCAGAAGACAACATATTAATTTTTCAAAAAACATAAAAGATGATTTTGAATATTTTCACCACACAAAAAAAAACTAAATGTTTTAAGAGATAAATATTTACTCTGAGGAACACAAGTATCAAAACATCAGATGGTACCTAATAAATGTAAAAGGTTGCTCCTGCACTAACAAAAAAAATGAGATAGTTTAAACTAAAAATATATATACTGTTCTTAAAAGTCACTGAAGTGAAGGCAACTGAAGTAGCAACAAAGCAGCTCATTCTTGAATTAGACAAAAAAAGATCACTCTCCCTTCCTTCCCCTCTAAAAAGCAAAATATCACATTGTTCAAGAATAAAATATATAACTTTAGTCTCTATAACACTTTCATATGTAGGAGAGAATACAATAAGAAAATTGCAAAACATGCCAAGAAGTCAAAAAATTACAAGCAAGTGGAAAGTGAGTTCACTTCCCAGTACCAAACAAAACAACAACAAAAACTCTACAAGAGACAACAGAAGGAAATTCACAGATTGTCCAGATGCTGAAATAAGCAACAAAAGACTTTAAAAATTATTATCAGGGGATCACTATAAAAGATTTTAGGGAACAAAAATGAATAAATTACAAGAAAATGAGGCAAATTACAAGAAAGAAATAAAAATAAATGTAAGTATTAGCAATGAGACACAAGACTAATTTTTAACGAAAAGACTCTGCCTGAGTTTAGAAGCAGACTGGACACAGCAAAAGAAAGGAATAAAGATCAATATTAACACTTCAATATAAATTATTTAAACTTATAGGAAAAAATAAGAACAGACCATCAGAAATCCAAGTGATACGAAACACTGTTGCAATTTATAACTGGAAAGCTAAAGGGAAAAGAACACAGGGCTGAATGAACAATGATTTGATGTTGAAGCCGTAGCTACCTCCTTAAAACTTAAGCAAGTTAAGTACTTCTTTAAAAAGTGAAAAAGGAAATCTAAGAACATTATAATCACACTGCTGAAAAACGTCAAAAAGAAAATTTTAAAACCAGTAAAAGACTATACAGAGGTACCTTGATTCCAAACACTTGTTTGCTAACTTGGTTCACAAACAGGAGTATTTGGCAAAATTTTGTTTTGGTTTGCAAACTCCATCCCGTGACAAACAACCACAGCCATCTTTTCCCCATAAACACAAATGTGGCCATCTTTTTCAAAATTGTAGAATAAGCTAAGTTTGTAATCTGTGATATCACTATCTGCCTTTAACAGAACACTAAAATTCTGCTTGTTTCACCAGAAACAAAAGGACACAGAAAATACCTTTAGAAATGTGGAAGAAGAAAAAAAGAACAGGGAGAGAAAAGGAAGAGGTAGGAGGCAGGTCGGCCTGCAGGGTGAATGGGCAGGCAGATCTACCCTAGGATTCTTCTATACATAACGATACAACTTTACAAGAAACAGTAAAGAAAGTTCTACAGTTGAAAGAAAAACTCAGATGGAATCCCAAATTGAAAAGAAAAACAAAAAAGTACCTTTAAGTACTGAAATTTAAAAAAAAAAGTTTTATGGCATCCTAGTTTTAAAAGACTATCAGGTGTTTAAAATAAAAATAACAATTTTAGCCAAGTTTATAATATTATTTGATCAAAAAAACCAGGAGATCGGTAAACTGCATCATTTTAGTTTCACATTTTCCTAAAAGTAATATATTTATGCATGTAAGGTTGAGAGTACACATTTACTGTCCTTAAAGTTGTATTATAAA